CAATTTCATTGAAGAAGAAGAAACCCATCACTTTCTCTCTGTTTTCTCTCAATTACGGTTCGAGAATCATGTTGAATGGTAAAGGGTCAATGAAAAAATCGAATCTTGATCGATTCCTTCATTGCACAACACCTGTAGTACCTCCCCAATCTCTCCCCAAGGTTTGTTTCAGCTTTTTGATTAACGTTTTCACTCTCTCTCCAATTGTGAATGTAATTCATGTGATTATTACATTGCAGGGTGAGATTAGAACCCTAAATCGATTGTGGCATCCATGGGAGAGAGAAAAGGTTGAATTTTTCAGGTTGAGTGATTTGTGGAATTGTTACGATGAATGGAGTGCTTATGGAGCAAGCGTTCCTATTCATCTATCCAATGGAGAATCTCTTGTTCAATACTATGTTCCTTATCTCTCTGCCATTCAGATTTTCACCACTCATTCCTCCTTGATCCGATTAAGGTTTGTTTTATCCTATTCTCTTTTGAAAAATATTATAAAGTTGAAATCTTGATTGCTTTCTGACCAACCCTTTAGCTATTTCATTGTTTCAGAATGAAATTTTTGAATAGATTGTGGTTTCTGGTTAAGCATATGTTTATGTATCTGAGTTCTTGAAGAATGATTGTTTTGATTAAATTTGGTGTTTGGTTAATTAGGGAAGAGTCGGAAGATGGGGAATGTGACGGTAGATATCCGTTTAGCGATTCAGGTAGCGATGAGAGTGTTTCCGAGGAAGGGCTTGATAACAATGGGATTTTGCACCCGAATGATCGGTTGGGTTACCTTTATCTTCAGTACTTTGAGAGATCAGCTCCTTATACCAGAGTTCCTCTCATGGATAAGGTAAGTAAACCTTATGTAGCCGATAGTTTCTTGGCCTGATTTTCATCGGATAAAGCTAGAATGACGCATGATGGTTTGATTCCAGATCAATGAATTAGCTCAAAGATATCCGGGATTGATGTCGTTGAGAAGCGTAGATCTTTCTCCAGCAAGTTGGATGTCGGTAGCTTGGTACCCGATATACCATATTCCAATGGGAAGAACCATTAGAGACTTATCCGCTTGTTTCCTCACTTATCACACTCTTTCTTCTTCTTTTCAAGGTGTGAT